ATTAGGAAAAATTTTTTCACTGAAAGGGTTCTCAGCCATTGGAATGGGCTGCCCAGGGAGGGGGTTGAGGCCCCATCCCTGGAGGTGTTCAAAAGACGGGTTGATGTAGTGCTGGGAGGTCTGGTTTAGTGATGATGCTCCTTGTTTGTTGTGTGGGTGTCTATTTTTGTCAGTTAGGTTGACGGTTGAACAAGATGATCTTCAAGGTCCCTTCCAACCTAGAAGATTCTGTGATCTTTCCAGGCAGGAGGGAGGCCCAGCCCTCCCCTCTTCCTGCCTCGCTCCAGGCCTTCAGTGGCTTTTGGGGCAAGAGCCCTTTCCTCATCCCTTCCCACCAAAACACTCCAGGCCCCTCTCAAGTGAGGGGTGAGGACACAACAGACCTCACCGAAACCATTACTCCTGGGGAACACATACCCCCCCATCTCCCTTCCTGCAGAGCAGAGGGAGGGGGGGGGTTCAGCCTTGGCAAAGGGACTGCAAAGAAAGACACTTCCACTCGTTTCTTTAAAATAGATTTCTTTAATAGTTTCCATTTAATACGTTTATTCGAAGTTAGTAAATTGGCATTAATCTGGGCAGCACGAACCTCAGCAATCCATGGGGATAGTGCAGACTTCCAGAAGTATTGGTTAGTGACAGGGGTGTCCCCCCTGACAGCCCTCTGCCAAAGCCCCCCCCGCCCCCCCCCAGTCCCCTGGCACCACGCAGGACCCTTCCTCCCCACAAGTTAAGACAAAACAAAAATGAAGGACAGAGTTGTCTGGTCCCTCTCAAAATGAAAGTCTGGAGGCACCTGCTCCCGGGTAAAAATCTGCCTGTGACCCCCCTGCAGGCTCAGCCCCTGCCCCGCTGCAGGCAGAGCCCTGGCCCTGGGGGACCAGCACCCTCCCTTGCTGGAGTTTCCTCCCTGGGCCCTTCTCCCCAGCCAGGGCCAAAGAGAAGCCCAGAGCTGCCTGGAGCTGGGCTGGGACCCAGAAGTTCCTCTGGTCCCAGAAGTTCCTCTGGTCCCAGGCTGGGAAGGAGGGAAGCCACCAGGCAGGAGACAAGGCTGGTGCCAGGGCAGCTGGGCCCCAACAACTAGAGAGATGTAGATGAGACTCTGTGGGTTTCTAGCAGCAACCACTGGATGCACCGATAAACTAGACTATGGAAAAGGCATCCCTTAACTTAAAAGCCTTTTTAATTTGAAGCATTTATTTTGAAGTGTACATCTATTACAGATAAGAAGAAGCAAAGATACACCAAAAACACAAATACCCAAGAGCAAAAAAAAAAAAAAGTACAGATGAGAAAGAAATTAGCTGAGGGGAGGGAGGGGGCGGGTGGAGGTGACCCGATGAAGAACAGAAAGTTGCAGCTGCCCAAGGAGGAGCTCCCTGACACAGGGGGTGCCACCGGGGCAACCTCACGGGAGTTGGGTAGAGATGTGATCCCCCCAGGAGAGACACAAGGGTCCCCAGGAGCTCCCATGAGGCTCCAGGTCTGCACAGAAGCTCTGACCATCCCGCAAGCAAAGGGCTGACTGCAAACCCACAGCAGGACACCCGAGTGTGAGATCAGCGAGAGAAGAAAAGGGTGACTTGTAGAGAGCAAGTCCTGCAGCCGGGGCTGGAAGCCTCCTCTGATCATCCAGGTCCCAGGGGAAGGACCCTCAGAGCAGGTCTCGTTCTGCTGGCAAAGATCAGAGACAGAACACCACAGCTCTGGGCCACCCTCACCCCTGGGCTCTCTCCGGAGCCTGGACAGAGCCCAAGTCAAGTCATCTCATCAAATAAGTTAAGAAAACATAAAAAAATTCAGATGCATGTTTCAAAGAAAACCGGTTTCTTTAGCTGGAGCTGCAAGACATGTATTTTTTTTTGACTTAAATGCAGTGGCTCAGGACTTCAGGCTGGATTTCATTCCTGGGAATCTGACCGTCTCAGAGCAACGTAGGTTTGGCCAGCAGGACTGCCAAAACCCCATTCCCCCTTTCCCAACAATATCCTACAAAGTTCCTTTCAACCAGGAGTGTTTATTCCTAGCGTTTAACACATGGTGATTAAAATAGATCCAGGAAAAAGAAACAAAACCTGACATCTCCAGTAAATATTGCACTTCAAAATGAATGTGTGTGTTGATATTAAAGACTGAAAGCAGAGACTGACAGGGGACTCCAGGCATAGCAGGTCAGCATCAAGAGCAATGGTCCTGAAAAGGATTTTAAAACCAGATTAGTTACCCAAGAAGGGACAAGCCGCAAGTTGGAAAAGAAAAAAATAAAAAATTAGTACATTTTAATGCTACTGCTCCGTGAAAAAGCCAACCCCTGTTGCAATCCCACCGCTGCCCAAACGTCTCTGTTCTCCGCAGCGCCGCAAAACGCCTCGGGGTGGGGAGGAGCTGCAGGAAGGACAGCAGGAGCAGAGGCTCTCTCCTAGCGCACGGACAGACGGATTTAGTACCAAATGATCCAAAAAGTAGGTGGTGAAGAGGTGACGGGAGCTGGGGCTCTCAGGAATTGAAAGCACACACACACACACACACACGTGCACACACTCACACTCCCACCAACCCCGACCCCCCGATTCCAAACCCCGACAGAAGAGTTGAGTCCTCTCCCTGGCTCTGCAGGGGGCTGGCACGGCGGGCTCCCCGTCAGACCTCACATTTGGAGGGCAATTTCTGTGCTTTTTGACTTGCTAATTCTGGTAGCCACGAAAAGCAGCCACGACGAAATTGGCACATACAGAGTATCCTCCTCTGTCAGCAAAAAACCATCTCTGACCAGCCCCCTCAGACCAGGAGAGGGGGGAAAAAAAAAAAAAAAAAATAAAGAGGCTGGTATTTTGCAGGTGAGTATTTTTATCCCAAAACGACCGGAAGATACATCCCTGAATGTGCTGCCCAGAGAGCTCTCAAAGTCTCATCCGTCAGAGATGAGAGACGGGGGACAGGGAGGGGGCTGGGGTTTGGACAATGCAGTTAACGCTCCACGGTGTCCAAGCTGCACACACACACACACACACACACACACTACACAGCGTATCCCTGAAAATCCACGGGCTGCGAGGTACCCTCCAAGCGCTGTCCATCAGAAGCCAGAGTGAAGAATTACTCCTCGGAAAAGTCTCTGTCAATGTCCATATAAGCCTCGTCGATGTAGCTAACTATGGCACAGGGGGACGTCCGGTCTGGACTGAGCAGTATAGATACAGTCTCTTTCCAGTAGGTAAAACTAATACATGAGCTCTGTGGGAAGAGAGGAAGAGGATGGTTAGCGTGGTCCGCAGGCACCAGCATGCAGCAGAAGACACAGCCCAAAAGATGTTCAGCAAAGAACTGAAAATTGCCTTCCTGTTCAGCACGGCTTCCCCAGCCCCACAGCTCTGATCCCCCAATCTGTCCATCTCCCCCCCCGGGGCATGGAGTAGAGGGGGTGGATGCGCCCCCAGAGGGGCCTGGACGGGCTGGAGAGGTGGGTCTGTGTCAACCTCAAGTTCAAGCAGGCCAAGTGCAGGGCCCTGCACCTGGGTCACGGCAATCAAATAAATACAGGCTGGGCAGAGAGCGGCTGGAGAGCAGCCCCGAGAAGGACTTGGGGGTGTTGGTGGATGAGAAGCTCAACAGGAGCCAGCAACGTGCCCTCCCAGCCCAGAAAGCCCCCCACATCCCAGGCTGCATCCCCAGCCCCGTGGCCAGCAGGGAGAGGGGGGGGGG